ATATATACGTATATGCTTACATATACACTGCTGAAAAGATAAAGGGAACACTCAAATAACACATCCTAAATCTGAATGAATTCTCATTGAACACTTTGTTCTGTACAAAGTTGAATGTGCTGAAAACATTTGAAACTGTTTGTCAGTCAGTGTTACTTCCTAAGTGGACAGTTTGATTTCACAGAAGTTTGATTTACTTGGAGTTAGGCTGTGTTGTTTAAGTGCTTCCTTTATTTTTAAAATTTTTTAGCAGTATATTTGGATTTAAATGGGAAAGATCAAACTTTAAGGCTGTAAGTTATTTGATTTAATTAACATGTTTCACTCTTTTTATTATCGTCACATATTTACAAACACATTGACAGAAAAACTGCTAAAGCTAACACAAAAATATAATCTCATGTTAGCTTCGGTCAACACTTCAAAGAGCAGCTGCAGAGGGACCAAAGAGTCCATGTGGCCCCAGAGCCGCAGGTCGCAGACCCCTACAGGGCTTTCAGAGGTCCTTAACCCATCAGCAGGACCAGGATCTGCTCCTTGGTGTGAGGAAGAACAGGATGAGTTCTGACAAAGTGACCTCCAGTGAGCCACTGGTGTGAACGTCTCTGACCAAACCATCTGAAGCTGGCCTGAAGGACCTGCACCCTCTTGTGTTCCTCAAAGCCCCTCTTTCTTACCTGCAAGCCAAGCTGAGCTCAACTTACTCCAAAGCTCCTATTTTCACTTTATGGTGCAACTTGTGCACTGTTTGACCTCATGGATTTCACAATTTATGCATAAACAAATTTAAAATGATCTTTTTTTGGTTTAAACACAATTATCATGAAACTTACAAAAAGACTGAATTCACTTTCAAGAGTAAAACCTATTTTATTAATAAATATTTAATCAGTTTATCCGTGTGGCTCTTAACTTCACAGACTCAATGAAATGATGCTTTCCTCCTAAATATTTGGTTACGTGATCAAACAAGAGGTGGAACAACTTTGTCTTACAAGTTCAGGCCATTTACCATAAGCACCAGGGCTTCATAGTAACTAAGTACATTTACTTTGCTACAGTTCTTCTGTCATTTTTTTTTTTTGAGGATTTGTAATTTTAGGAAATATTTTTAAGCCGTGACTTCAATTTTTTTCATTCAAAATCTAAAAATGATACTTTTACTACTTTACTTTGTATTACAATATTAAAATTGTCTGAACTCATCATGAGAGGAGTTGTTTCTGCACTCTAAAAAAAACTGTTGAATTTACTGTCAACTGGTTCCACTAAATCTAGTAGAGTAAATATGAAGCAATATACATATTTTCTTTGCTGAATTTACTCAACTTGGTTTAGTGGAACCAGTTTCGTTCAGTAAATTCAAAAGTTTATTTCTTAGAGTGGGTAAAAGTACTTTTACTTTACTGATTTTTGTGTAGAGTTTTATGACCTTTACATAATTTTCTCATCAATGAAATTTATTTTTACCAGTCATTTACTGTAAAGGTACTTTTACTTAGTTTTTCAGGTACTTCATAGACCTCTGATTACCACCCTATGCTTTTTCTGGATGAGAGCAGCTTCACACTGAGCACATGTGACAGATGTGACAGAGTCTGGAGACAACATGGAGAATGTTCTGCTGCAGGACACATCATCATTTGGTTGTGGGTCAGTAATGGTGTGGGGACCTCTACTTGCAGCCAGAGGTACCCTGACTGCCGTCAGGTACCAGGATGAGACCCTCAGACCCGCTGTGAGACCACATGCTGGTGCAGTGGGTCCTGGGTTCTTCTGATGGCCTCATGTGGCTGAAGTGTGTCAGCAGTTCCTGCATGAAGGCATTGATGCTATGGGCCAGCCTGCCCATTCCCCAGACCTGAATCCAGTCAAGCACATCTGGACTCGTTCCATCCACCAACACCACGTTGCCACAGACTGTCCAGGAGCTGACTGATGCTTTGATCCAGGTCTGGGAGGAGATCCCTCAGGAGAACATCCACCTCATTAAGAGCATGGCCAGGTGTTGTAGGGAGGTCATCCAGGTGCATGGAGGCCACGCCCACTACTGAGCCTCAATTGAACTTGTTTTGAGAATTCTCCACTGAGGTTGGATCAGCCTGTGATGTGGTTTTCCACTTTTATTTTTAGTATAAATCCAAAACCAGACCATCAGGGGAGAAAAATTTGATATTAATTATCATTTTTATATTATTTTCTTCAGCACATTTGACTATGTAATGAATAAAGATTTTTCTACTGGAATATTTCATTTATTCAKATCTATCTTGTGTTGTTTTAGTGTTCCTTCTATTTACTTTTTAATATGCTGAATAAATACATTTTTGAAGTACTTTTCTGAGCCATACCAACAAATAACATGAGTTTGAGCAGAAAAGTATGGAAACAAATATTAGTCTTATGTATTTTGTACTCGTAAATCAGACTTTGTATTTGTAGATTAAGATTTGTAACTTTTGGATATGTAAACAGGAGTGTGTGTGTGTAAAATAGAGTTGTATCTGTAAAAATAAATTTTGTATCTGTAAAAATAAGATTTGTATTTGTAAAAATTAAATTTGTATCTGTAAAAA